TCTGTTTCTTGCAAACAACGCATGGATTCTAGGATTTGGTTTACATCAAGCTAATAAAATGTATGTCTTTTGTGAATGTATCAGTAGCCTATGTTGTCTTTTATTGGAGAAAATGTTTTTTGTGTAAATATATTTATGAGTAACGTTGGCCTATTATATTAATAAATGCGAATGAAAACTTAATTGATATGACAGTTGAATGCAATAGAGTCAAAACTTTAATGCCACGATTAAGCATAAATAGTAAAGAAACCTGCTTTGGATGTATTATGTTCAGGACAAACGTAATAGCACTGCAATAGTATTAGGTTAAGGACCAACGTAATACCACTGCTTATATGTTGGCATGTAACGTAATTGCGATTTGCAAAATAGTTTCCTCAGAACGTATTTCGTGTGATACATAGTTGGGTGGTCCACTAGGGAGACCAAACTGTAGTTGCAGCCGTCGTGTGTGCTGACGCGGCAAGTACACTGCAGCCGTTAACGCCGGACAGAAGGGGAGTCACACGACTATATGGAAAGAAGCGTAAATGCAGTGCTCGAATTGAGGGGGGGCTGGGGGGATCCGGGACCCCCCATAAGGTATTAGGGACCTCCCATAAGAAGTAAAAAATAGAATTAGGGGGGTCCCTCAGATATTTTTATTTTAGTAAAAAATAATATTTAACAAATCTGTGCGCAATCGTTGACTGACAGGACTGTTTGATTGGCGCCGCTCTGTTGAAGCTAATTTTTAACTTTAAAAAAATGAAAAAGATAAACCTCCACTCGAGGTCGGGAAGAGAAAGCTTCTTACCGACTTTTTTGAGGGGTAATTGTCTCTCTTTATATATCTTTCTACATTATATCTATCCACACCATATCGGGGCTTCTGTATTCCTTGCGTAAATTGGAAACATTTAGGCTTAAGTTACTTTTTTTCCACCATTATTAATAGCCCTGGTTCTACGGGAGTGCTAGAGATCTCGACGGAGATGGATAACAGTTTTTCAGCAAAGGGAACGATCGTTGTGTGCTTTCTAATTTCCATTCAGAATTTGTAAAAAAAAACTTGTTTTTCATGCTGCCAGGATCGGCCACGTAAACACAAAGTTTTGGGTTTCAAAGTGCACTCTTAAAATAGCAATAATTGACATCGATTGGCATGGCATTGTTTGTTTCTGAATAAAGCTGCCTTTTTCGCTAGTCATGGTCGTTGAATAGTTGCTGACCTACTGAGTGCTTTTTCGCCACCTACTGGACGTAACTATGTAAAAATCGCATGCTGAAATAGTTGAAAAATCCCCACCATATAATATCTAATAAACAAGTTTCATCTATTTAATCAAGTCTTTTGAAACCAACATTATTACCACAGTGTCACATAATCCACATTAATCATGCAGTTGTTTTTAGGTTAAAAACAACATTTGTAAATAAATCATTTTGTTGGATGTACACAACTGTTCAAAAGACTCTTCTGCTCACCAAGCCTGCATTGATTTGATGCAAAATACAGTAAAAACAGTAATTTTATGAAATATTATTACAGTTTAAAATAATAATATAATAAAATATTGTTTATTTCTGTGATCAAAGCTGAAAACCATCGTTTCTCCAGTGTTCATCATGATCCTTTAGATCTGAAATATAAAACTTTTTGTAGCATTATACAGTACCATTTAAAAGCTTGCGGTCAGTAAGAATGTATTTTAAAAAAAATGTTGGGAAATAAATTAATACTTTTATTCAGTATGGTCGCATTAAATTGATCAAAAGTGACAGTAAAGAAGTTTATAATGTAACAAAAGATTCTATTTCAAATAGAAACTGTTGTTTTGAATTTTTTATACCTAAAAAATCCTGAAAAATAAAATAAATGTTTATTACACAAATGTTTGTTGATCATCAGATCATCATGTTACTATTAGAATGACGAATCATGTGACACTGAAGACTGGAGTAATGATGCTGAAAATTTGTGAAAATTCTGCTGCCCTCTAAATCCAAACCTTTAGTAAGTAATTTTAAATAATAATTATATATATATATAGCCTAATATAATTATTTTTCAAGCGGTTTTAATAAATAGTATACATTTATGCATATTATGTATAAATATATGCTATTTATATCCCAAACAAGGAAAAAAATTGGGGACCCCCATAAGACTTGACTCAATTCGAGCACTGCGTAAATGGATGCAGGGTTGCCAACTTTTGAGTTTTGCTTGGAGTGATATTTGTTGGGAGGGTTTTTTTTTATATATGTTAAAAACTGTCCTTCTGTCTGTGGTCTTGGTGCCAGAAAATTGCTTACATGGACTTGACACACATGCACACATCACTACCTGATTATGCCTGCATTTAACATATTTTAATTCAGAATGCTGTTGTGTAATTGTTTCCCCAAATATATGTATTTGTCTGTTTGCTCCAACATGTTCAATTCGATTATTCCTTTTTCTTTTTAAAATAAAACTTCACAACCCAGTTAATTGCAGTTAGAATTACCTTTTATTTCTTGTAAGAATTCTCCCCAAAACTTTGTTTTGTCTGTTGGTCTTCTAGTCTCATTTTCGACCATCAAACATTCTGTCTGATTCAAACAGGTTTTTGTAGCATTTGCATACCCCTAATTGGACTGAACCATTAGTAGTTTTGTCTGGGAGAAGGGGAATAGCAGCTAAACAATTTTAGCCTTTTTCATTTTTTATTTTTTTTTTATTTCTAGTGTGTTGTTAAAGCTGCAGTCCGTAGCTTTTTTGGGTTAAAAATTATCCAAAATACATATTTGAGAAAACACATAACAAGCCAGTGTTCAAAACTCTCTACTTGCCATAGCTCGATTCAAAGCGGTAAGTTTGTAATAATGTTTTTAATTCCAGTGGATCTGGTGGATTTCCACGAGAGATTCGAGCATGTCTTTGCGTCACTACGTAAATAAAGTATAATTTGCATGGTTTTGCATGATATAAGTGATTTTTAAATTTAATCAGCGCGCTTCAATGCAACGTCAGAACCAGAACAAAAGTTTATGTTACTTGTTCAGATAACAAGTAACATAAAATGATTATGGTCATACTTCCAAAAAGAATAATCTATGATTCTGAATGCCAGCATCCACACCGGGCGTGGTGATTGACAGCCACACACCCTCCTCAAACGTTGTGTTTATCCGCGCTGTGCCGTGCCGAGGCACAACTCACGTAAAGCTGATAATTCCGCGAATGACTGCAATCGCAGATTTCAAACAGAGATGGCGACAAAGAGGAAAAACTGTATGTAGCGAACACAAAGATGAAGGAACAAGTGTATTTTAATATAAGTCTCAGGCGACAGGAACACAGAAACATCTACATACCATTAACAAAGCATGACGAACTGAGCAGAAACTGAGAACTTAATTACGGGTGGTAATAAGGTGAACACAGCTGTATGGTTACACAGCAAATTAAAAAATAAATTAAAGCAAACTTTCACAAAAAAATTAAAATAAGCCCATGATTTACTCACTCTCAATCCATCCTAGGTGTATATGACATTCTTCTTTCAGATGGCCTGGCTTTTCCAAGCTTTATAAGGCAGTGATTGGCTGTATATACAATAAGTCCATCAAAGTGCATCCATCCATGATAAAAGTGCTCCACACGGCTCTTGGGGGTTAATAAAGGCCTTCTGAAGTGAAGCAATGTGTTTGTGTAAGAAAACTGTCTATATGTCAAACTTTATCAACTAAAATATCTAACTTCCGGCAGACTGTTACGGATATATGGACACAGATACACTGTACGGACTATTGATAAACAAAGGATGTGATGAGGTGAGTAGGGTACTGCAGTCCAAAGGGTGATAGAGGAAGGTACTGGAGACTGGAGACTGGGCGATGACATCCACATAAAGCCTAGTTCACACTACATGATTTTATGTACGGTTCACAGTACATGACTTGCTCTCTGTGAAATCAGGAGTGTTGTTGAGCTGTTCACACCACAAGACACAACGTGATTGATCCGCATCAGGAGGTAACGTACTACACGAGTTGACAACAACTCTGTCATCCAACGATTTTTACCTTGTCTACAAACCACGTTTTCTCACGGAAAAATCACGGGATAAAACGAACCGGAAAAGACGCAAAACAGCACAATACGCAGCGAAGACGACGAAGAACACAACATGCGAATATGGACGTCACACAGAAAAAAAATGCAAAAAACTAAAAAATTAGATTTACCCGGTGACCTCAACCCATGCCTTGCTCTGATTGGCCGTAGCTCATGACATCACGTGAGGTTGAGTTGTGCGACAGCTCTGAATATCTAGCATGCTAGATATTTTTCTGGGCTTGGCGAGCGTCTTTGATGCGATTTTTCTGCGAGCATTTTTGATGCACAAGATTGGCGAGCGTTCATCGCCCGCTAATTCCCCGCGATTTGCACGCTATAACACCCTGTCTCTTTCATTTTCTGCAAGTAGTCTGCTATACTGGTATAAAGATGTCATCATTGTTTTACATTATCAGAATTTCATCTTACATTTTGGCCATATAAATATCCAGAACTACACCAAATTGCACATTTTTGCTAAGTTTGGGTATCTAAAAAATTTTTAGGTGTTTTTTCCCCCTTCGAGTTTGAGCTCCATATTCTCATTATAGTCTATATGAGCCATAAAGAGTCAAATATGATACTTTAACATGTAATTTAAAAAATATATTTTTTAAGATTTTATTTAAAGGTTCAATAAACTGTTCCATTTAAAAAAAAAGTAATTTCATGTGTCAGTCTTTACAAGGTAAAATAACATTTGGTGATGGCAAACCCATTAACTAAACATGTCATTATTTGAATCAAACGTAAATATTTACAGTAAGTTACTAGTTGTAAACTAGAGTCAAGGGTGAGCCTATTATTATACTCTGAGCGCATTATAATATAGAAGAATGTGACAGTTCATTAAAGAACACATGATGCATTCATACTGAGATAAATCTATTTTTAAAGCAACAGTACTTACCCCTCTGTATAGGTGTCCAGTCGGGACAGGTCATCAGAAACTCCCAGCAGCACATCCAGTGTTCCCACCTTCATAATCATCATAACAAAGAGTTACACAACCTACACCAACAGGATTATAGACAACTTAACCATAAAGGATTTTGTTTATCTGCCTCATGTTGAGGCTTTTTTAACCCAGATGGCCCATTTAACATGGTCCCCCAGAAATGTATATGACTTAAACCTTTAAGAGGTCAAACATTTAGCCCATACATACTTTTACAATCTGAAACTGAAATTACCATTCTGAAACTGATTTTGAGAAGCGTGCTCCTGAAGAGACTTTTCAATGAAGCAGGGAATCCAACACCTGTAATGATTCATAGACTGACAGTACCTGACTCACTGGTAAGCTCTTTTTGTTTCCGTAAATTCATATGGAACAACTGGTCACTAACTAGAGTCATGTTGCAATTATTCGTAAGTAGAACTTGTGCTTTCCATTATCATATTATATCAGCTTCTGTTAAAGGATTAGTTCAACCAAAAATGAACATTTCCTGATTATTTGCAGGCCATCCAGGATTTATATGAATTTTTTCTTTTTTTCAGCCATAGTTTATTTGCGACAGTCCAAAATCCATATTTAGACAGCTTCAAATGGCTTCACAGGTCCCCAACCAAACAAATGAGCTGCCCGACATGTCAGATTCTGACTCATCGGTATTGGGTTTGAGGAGATACGGCCTTTTAAAATCATAAGAATGGGTGACACTAAGTTTACATGATGCAGCCAGTAACCCATTCAAAACCAGGATATTAGCAATAACTGGTCGGGAACGCAATGTGAACACAGCCAAAAACCCGAATAAGCTCATATCCCGGATTTTAAAAACCGGGATATTATACCTGGGGTACCCCTTTTCTAACCCGAATTTTTGGTCATGTTAACGCATTTTGGCATATCCCCATAGTGATTTGTGCTCTGCACATGTTCTATTCGCAAGGAATCTTGGTCTTTTGAGTAGAGAAACTTCTCAGCGAATATAAAAATCCACGTGCAGTATACCGGAAGTAAACATGTCGAGACCAGGTGAGACACAGCACAGCATACTTTTGGAGCGAGCTCAGTAACGTTACCAGCATCAAAGCGCAAACAAAGGCGATCGCTATCTGCCCTGAACTATTCATTATCCGCGTACTGCTGCTGTTGTTGTCTTTGGATACAGGAAGAAGAATCGGAAATGACACATTTTGCGTCTTAAGGTTGTCCGTACGTCTAGACGCTAACCGTTTACATCGGGATATTGCAATTCCATGTATAGCCTACAGGAGAAACTCTCTCTGCTCACGCATGTAAACGGGTTATTCCCAATGTTTCAGAAACCTGAATAGTGACCTTAACCCGACCATAACCCGAAATTTGGCTGCATGTAAATGTAGTCACTGTACAGTCTAAAGGGCCCTATCTTGCACCATCATTGTGGTTTACATGAAGATGAAAAAACCGAATTACCCATTTTTAAGGCTAATTGTAGTAGCCTACTGGATCAGACCTGTTTGCCCAATAGTGGCAAGAAACATACGTATATAATGTTTAACCGACGCTGATGTGCGGGGGTTTCTCCCATCCCCATACAACGTCACTTCTCTGTCTTTCACTGCCCTGACAAGAACGTCGGTCTCATCGGCTGTGAATGCTCCTGGCGTGGCCTGGTAAACCCGCCGTTATAATAACAATCCGTCATGCAACATGCGCACCTGCTCTTAAAGGGTATGTTGGATGGTGCTCGGATTGGTTTATTTCACGTTACGCCCAAACCACACCTATGAATAATGAAGCTACTTCAGACCAACCTCTTTTAGATTTGCGCCAGGCACAAGAGGCATTTATCCCGCCGGGAAATTAGCAATAGTGCCGGGACCCGCCCACAAAGTTACTTGCGCCATGCGCTTTAACACTTGCGTTTCAGATCGTTAAAATAGGGCCCTAAGTGTTTTGGAAACCTGCTTGGAAACAATCAATATTTTCAGAATTCATTTTTGTTTCAGTGAAACTGAAATGACACAAGAGTCACTAGTAAAATTGACACTTCAACCTAAAAATAATATTCTTCATTGTTTGCTCATCCTCATATTATAATTATATATTTTATATTATTAATATAAGAGAAGATATTCTGAGAAATGTCTCAGTCAGTGATTTTTGTTCAAACAACAGAAGTCACTAGACACCAAAAATTCACTGGGCTCGACAAAATACCTTCTTTTGTGTTCCACAGAAGAACTGAAGTCATACAGGTTTGGAATGACATGAAGGTGAGAAAATCATGAAAGATTTAAAATTTTGGTGTGAACTTTTTAGGTGAAATAATACAAAGGGGTCCTATCATGCTCATTTAGGTGTTCATATGTTTGTTTAGGGATCTACTGGAATACTTTTATATAATCTAATGTTGTAGATGCAATGTAGATCCAAATGCAGCTTCATTAAGAATAGTCGTACACGCAGGGTAGAGAATCGGCAGACAGGACAATGGAGAATAAACAAAGGGAATCCAAGAAACAGGCAGAGGTCAGGGCAGGCAGCAATAATCAGAGTCCAAGAACAATCCAAAGTCAAAAACAGAAAAACAAACACGGGAAACCGCTCAGAAATGCAGACACACAATACAACAAGACTTCGCAAACAGTGAATGTGAACACAAGCTATATATAGACAGACTAAGAGGATGAGACACAGGTGAATGCAATCAGTGAATGAGGTACAGGTGAATGTGATCAGTGATGAGTTCGGGCAGTGAGTTCTGGGAAATGTAGTTTGTAAGTGATAATAGTCTTATCTGGAGTGCCCTCTGCTGGCTCAAAAGGGCACTCGTCTGTCTGTCTGCTCTGTTTTAGGCTGCATCCGAAATCGCTTACTTCCCTACTATATAGTAGGCGAAAAACAGTATGTCCGAACTCACAGTACTCATAATAGAGTAAAGGCCATTGCACACTGAGTCCGAAATTTTCGTATGCGTTTTTTCGTGTTCGTCAGCCTAAAAATTCGTCACGCACAGAAACCTTGCACACTGAGTCCGATGCGTATTTATTAAACCTTAGCGGGAAAAAAACGCACAGAAATACAAAATGGATTCGTCAAGCAGTGAGGATGATTTTGTTGCCTTCTCTCTTATTGAAAAGAGAAGAAAGAGAAAATATTGGGATACATCCAATCCTGAAATTGTGCAGAGAGGAAGAAGAGTTCCACCTCCTTATCAAGGAGTTGCGAATTTATCCCGAACGATTCAAAATTTACTTAAGAATGTCAGTGGGACAGTTTTAATTGCTAGCGATTATGGAGCCACATATTAAAAAGAAGATTCGTGAACCAATCGATCCTGAACAGAGACTGGCAGTAACCTATGTCTAAGTTATGGACACACACACAGTCACACACACAAGCGCTGGGCAGACAGAACAGCTGTATAGGCTACAGGTTAAATATTGTACCCAAATAATACATTAGTTATCGAATTGGCTGCTCAATCACACCTTAATCGATCCAAAATTTTGATCTGATTGAAAGGGGAGATTTATTCCTTTTCTAATCTGATCGAGAGAACATAAACACTTGATCGAATTGAAAACCGAAATTGAAAGGACCGCACATGTGTGTAACAAGCTCCCCCGAGCCCCGAATTGTAAAAAAAAAACTCTCAAAATGCTGTCTGTGGAATGCGAAAAACACAGAAAATCGAACCCAATTCGAACTTTTTTATGACGGACGAAAGTTTCGGAGGCAGTGTGCAAGCATGATTGAAATAATGTGAGGTCGAAATTTTTTTTAACGTGCGAAAATTTCGGATGCGAATTTCGGACTCAGTGTGCAATGGCCTTAATGTGCATACAATGGACACTTCACTATACCATGAGGCTGCAGTAGATCATTTGTGAATGGCAGTGACGTGAACATACTTTTTTTAGTAGTTGCGGAGTAATTACTTATTCAAAAGTAATACCTACCCAGAGAGTATGCGATTTGGGACACCGTCTTAGTTTCGGTTTCTTTAAAAACCCACCTTCTGAAAAGCACAGCCTGCGGTGATTGGTCAACTGGCCCCAGTCTGTTGTGATTGGTCTATCGGTTAGAGCATGTGGCGGAAAAGCAACACCCCTTACCATATAGAGAGCCTAAGTCCCACCCCTCCGCTTCCGGCTCATGGGACCTTTTTTCGGAAAAAATATGAATGGTAGTCAATGGCGAGAGACAACTTATCTTTTTATTCCGTCTGAACTGTGCCCCTTAATTACACATATGATGTTTGTCAATTTAAAAGATAATTCTGAAAGTCAAAAACGTCACAGTTTGTCATACAACAGAAGAGTAACATTTAGTTTTATGTGAAAATCGCTGTGTGAACTACATCTCCCGGGAAGCGAAACGAGATCCACTGCTCGTGTGTGTGCAGTCTGGTACAAAACACTCAGGTAGGACGGCGTAACATTACGATTATAACACAAGACTGTAGAAACAATGACAGACAGCCTCAGTAAAGTTAGCTTCATTCATTGAGAGAAAATGTGCACCTTTGGGGTTTGTAGTCTTTGTAATTACGTATTTTCACAGTCTTATACCTCAACGGTTTTACATCAAACTGCGACTTTCTTTACTTTAAAATGTATCTTTTAAATTGACAAACATCATATGTGCAATTCAGGGCACAATTCAAATGAGATCAAAATATTTGTTGTCTCTCGCCATTGACTACCATTCAATGTTTTTCCGAAATAAGGTCCCATGGTGGTCGACCGGAAGGGGAGGGACTTAGGCTCTCTATACCACCTGATACCGAGGCGCTGTAAATACTATTACTTGGGACCAACTTCAAATATACTTAGTATACTTTAATTATACGCCTGTGAAGGGACTAATTACATGCTTGATTAGTGATATTAAAGTGTACTTTGTGTTACAATTAGAGTACAAGTATATTACGACAAGCAATATACCATAAGTGTGTGTGTGTGTGTGTGTGTGTGTGTATATATATATATATATATATATATATACACACAGACACACATTACATACTCATATTTTGTTTATCCATACAAAATACATACTCGTGTCTCCCAAGGCACTACGGCGCTATATGATTAGTATTAGTATATAATTAGTATTAGTTACTGTATTTTGAAACTACTGTATACTTGCATTGTTACAATGATCATTTCCAGCACACAGTTAAAATATACCTAACATATATTTTTAGAAAATATACTAAAGTACAATTATTTTAAAGTGTGTTAAAAGTAGAATTTTCAAAATAGGTAACCGCATGATGCTAATATACTTTTCATATATTTAAAGGTACAATTTCTGTTAGTATATTTGCGATGGGAAAAATATTTTCATTACAATAAAGTACACTTTTTTTCACTAGAGATCTCATTCCATTTTCCTCCTTTAAAGGTGCCATCTGGAACTAAAAATCAAAAAATATTCCATATTCCATAACATATGGGGGCAGTATACCTCCAGAAAATGTGTTGTGCCGCTGCCGCACGCACTCACGTCTTCAAACAACACAAACGAGCGCTGTTTTGCTCTCTTTCTCCGCATATTATTCAAATCATTTGACACGATAGTAAAAGGTCGGAAGACCGCAGTTTCACGTGGAGCATTTGGAGATTTTTAGAGATCAGAGACTCAATGAACAACATCTCAACACTAAATGATGAAGACCGACTCATAGACGCCTGTCTCAAAAACAAGCTGTTGCATTTCGACGATATGGGAAAATAAAAGCCTGCAGGCTATTATTTTAAGTTTACGGTATTCGTTTTGTTCATATTACACTTTTATTGTTAGTTTGAATTAATTTGACAGACAGCTTTCGCTGATGTTGATCAACCTAGCGAAATTCAGAGCTGCCAGCTCTCACGAATTCACCGTGAGACACATGCAATTAACACTTAGCAAGCAGGTTAGTTAAGCTCTCAGATTCTGTCAATTTTATTATGCAATTCAAACAATAAATACCATTTTTGCGCTTGTACATGTTACACCACAGATCCCTAGCGCACGTGAACCGATCATCTCTACTAGCTAATGAAAAAAAAAACCCGAACACTGTTGAAAGATACAGTATGCTACAACTTACCAAAATGTATTCCTCATGCATAATGTCGACCAATCATTTTTTGAACTCTTTCCTGAACTGAAATGTAGTGGGCTGTATTTCCACACGACTGACATCAGGTTCAAGTACACACACACAAGCCGGCGCGAGCGCGACTCACTCGTGTACTGCAGTTTGGCTGGTGGTAACGTTGCCCGGCCGCATACCGCCTCCCATGGCCGAAACTGGTATTACGACACCTGCCGGGCCGGGGCTAGTAATTTAGCATGCTAATTCAGGTTAATATCTCGGCAGCACTATAACTTGTCAGTTTTAATTACATTTAATTACATCATTGCACTTATTTCTTCTCATTCTTTTGATGCGTGTAGCTCATTTTTTGGATATTTTTACCTCAATTATTACATATGGCACCTTTAAAATAATACAGTTTTTTTCTGAAGCTTAAAGGGTAACTAAACCACTGGTCAGAGCCTGACTCCACCCACTGCAATATTTGAAAAATGCTGAAAAAGTGGGCAGACCCCGGAGATAGAGGGGACGAAATAGATGCTAAAACACTCTATCCTGATCGTTTCCAATACTCGCAATTCCAACTCCTGACTCTCTACAGTGGTTTTGACGAAACAAGCTGGTTTTTATACTGCCAACGGCGTAGCTCGCGTGGTGAGCTGAAACGTGCGTACGTCACGAAGTGCGGAATATCCAATAGGAAAATTCAACTGCAGTAGCCACCGTTCAACCTGAAGAGGGCAGCACTAAGACGTTTTTACACCATATATTGAAGAAATAAAACACTTTATACACAAATGTCAAAAAAAAGTTACTGGAATGATGACTGGTATTAATAAAGATCCATTCTTACAAATCATTAACTAAAAAAAGTTGGTTTAGTGTTTAGTTACTCTTTAAAGGGAGGGTTGACTGCTTTTTTCTCTTTGCATGATTGTGTTTATGGGGTGCAATATAACATCTATTCAAGGTTTTTCTTTTTTAAAAAGTCTTATTTTTCATAAATGAAATGGAGTCCTGTCACCGAACACGTGACATTTGAAAGCCGTATTCAGCGGGAAGAGTTTTCACTGCAACCGTGTTCAGCAAAGCTGTGGTCAATGGGAAGAGTATTATCACCTATTATTTATTTTTGCCTTTGACATTCTGAGTTAACTTTATTTGAGCGCGACCTCGCGCTGTGAAAAGAGTTGTGTAAATAAAAGTGCACGAGTCCCAGTATTCGCCGACCCTGTGTCTCCTTTCATCACCCACACATAACGAACCTGTTCTTACATCACAAAGTGATGATAAAGTATATATACTTGAACAATACATTTATAAAATGAGTACATACTGTATACAAATTCAGGTCCAAAATGTTTGTACGCGTTTGTCGTGGACACAAAATAGCATAACTAAGTGGATATAAAGCCAGCGCTGGCATTTGACAAAACTAAAACATTACATCTGAAATTATGCATGCAAATACATTTAAAATGATTAAGTCTTAGCGGTAACACTTTATTTTGATAGTCCACTTTAGACATTCAACTAACTATAAGTAACTTTGCCGCTACATGTCAACTAACTATCATTAGAGTATTAGTAGACTGTCAGCTTAATATCTGCTGACACATTATTTTGTTGGTCCCCCAACAGACATTCAACTGACTGTAAGTAACTTAGCAACTACAAGTCAACTTGTTCTCCTAACCTGAACCCTAACACCTAACCATACTGTAACCTAACAGTCTACTGACAGTCTACTACAGCCTACTAATATTCTAATGACACTTGGTTGACATGTAGTTGAAAAGTTACTTATAGTTAGTAGACTGTCTAAAGTGACTATCAAAATAAAGTGTAACCGTCTTAGCCTACTTACAGGTTGTGGCCCAACAACTGCTGCCTCTGGTTTTAAAGTTGGAACTGCTTCATGTTTTAGTAACAGTTTCTTGTTGAATCCGGTGTTGAATTTGTGGAGATTCTGGAAGCTGTCTTCCGTAAAATGGCCAGCACAGAGAGCTAAATTACGATCGTCATTAATCAAACATAAATTGTATCCATTGTTGACGAAGTACAGTGTCCGTGGGAAGCTCGAACACAGAAGACCTGACAGCTGGGGTAACACAACACACTCGACGAGCCGCAGAAATATGCGCATGCCCTTTTTTGCATATTCCGGAGGGAGGGGTTGATGCAAATGTGTGGGTTAGTGACGTCTAAAACCCAGCTAGTCCCAATCGAGTCGTTTTTGTAGGCTTTTAAAAGACGATATCTCTGCTTACATTGAACTTTCAGCGCTGCAAATTTGCAAATACTGTTCATGAACCATCAGCAACATTACACACTATTTAAAATGAAAAAAAGTGAAATCGCAATCAACCCCCCCTCCCCCCCTTTAAGCATCTCCTTTAAGCCCTGTTTTGTACTCCATAAATGTTTAGTTTGTTTATTCTTTGTTTTCATTGACCTCCATTGGGGGAACTTTAACATTCTGCCGAGCTTAACAAACGTTCTTCCAGTAACATCATTTTACAGAACGTGCATTCAAAGTCGTCAATAATATTCCAAAAACTTTATCATAATAACATTATTTATCTATCAAAGATGGACTGTTTTCGTCATCTGAGATTCCCCAGAGAGAAGTCGAGAAAGAATGTTTGCTTACCTTCAGCTCTGGGACATTGAATCTGGAGCTTGTGGCCAGACCTGATTTAGCCGCGACCCGTTTGAGTTTCTCTAAAGACTGACAGCTGATTTTATCCAGAGGAACCGAAATCAACCAGAACTCCATCATGCTCGTCCTTCTCACCTGTGACAGGAGTCTGGGACTCACACTGAGGCGAATGATGTACCTTGACCGCTCGCTGACTGTATCATTGGTTTGCTGACTACAGTGTCAGAGAAGATTAGGTTTCTCAGACAGACGAACACAATTCTCATGTTCTAAACACACTAATGTTTTATGATGAGAATGAATGAGGTAATAGCTCATCAAGATCGGCTGTAGGAAACGCTCTGTGAGATCCATCTTTTTACAAAACTCAGTGGTGTCAAAACGCACGTCATTAGGTCAAGTATCTAATATTCCAGTCTCTTGTGAGGTATGTTGAATACATTGCCATCACTTAAATACAGCACATCAGCACACCAATTACTAATTAATTTGTTCGTTTATATAATGTTTGATTAAACTGTTAGATTTTTGGAACAAATAATAAGCAAATCATGATTACCATGGATTCCGACTTTCCTATTTTGTCATGTTTCCTTCTGGCAGGTGTCAAATAAAACAGTGAATGGAGATAAATATAAATTAAATTAATGAAGTTTAGGCCTGTGAACGTCAGGTGGTCTGAGGTGTGTGAGGTAAGGTACTGTTACGTAAATTGATCGTTGTGAGAGAACAGGTGTTGTGTGCAAACACACCATAATGAGAGGCACACGCTCTTCTCACATTGCATACAGTACAATGTGTTTCCCGTCTAATTTTTTTTAAGCTGGACTGTGTCCTTATTTTAGATGTGTAGGTAGCTATTGTTTCCATCTTATTTTCTTTTTCTTCTGCCTGGGGGTCTAAAGGCTAGAAAGTCTAAAATGTTAAAGTGAAATTTGGTTTTGTAAGTTCACCCACTTACAAAGAAATGAAGGGTCTATGATTTTTATGGTAGGTTTATTTTAACAGATAGAGACAGATAATCAACCAAAAAAAAACATCATATTATATAGGTTATAAATTAATTTACATGTCAGTGAGTGAAATAAGTATTTGATCCCCAAGCAAAACATAATTTAGTACTTGGTGGAAAAACGTCTCGGTTACGGATGTAACCCTCGTTCCCTGAGTAGGGAACGGAGACGTTACGTCAGGAGTGACGGAGAATGGGGGTTTCAATATACAATATACAACATGTGTTAACAATATGTTCAATGTCATCACAATACAAATGAGAAAAGAACAATGATCTGAAAACTAAACTAAATAAATAAATAAAAAAAGATCTAGAAGAACATGAAGGCAAGATATTAATCTATACATCAGTTACACTATACAAATAGTTTCATTTTATGTTTAAATTTTCATAAGAAAATTTTGCTTAAAATGTTAGGTAATGTATGGCACTGACATACAGATATATAAAACGGATATTTTAACAGATTTTTATAAAGTAAAAATAAAAAATAAATAATTTATTTGCAACCGTTATGTTAATCATTATGTTTCTGTCGTCAGAACAGCAATAGAGCTGATGGACAAAGTGTTGTCATAGGAACATCCAAGGTAAAAATAATTACATTACGTTGTCTGTTGTTGCTCCCTTCATCAAGTTCCAAGCGGCTACATAAATGACACACTAGGTGTCATGCTCATGCCAAATTCCCACTTGAAGAGCTTTGCCATCTGCCCTTTGAAGGGACTAGGGCATAGGGAAGCTCACGAGCAATAAGCAAGTCCCAGTTGGGTCCGTCACTTATTTGGTTCCCCGGAAACATTTCCGTTGTGGACCGTGTTATTTGCATCGCGTTTCTGTATTTGGTGGTGTTGTGAACGTTTGCAGCGCGTTTCTGTATTTGGTTGTGTTGTGAGTACTTGGAGCACACGTGTGTTGTGGAACTGATGAAGATGTTTTTCTTAATTTGCGGATGTTTTTTTTGTATTTGCACGCGTTTTTATAGTTGCACACGTTTTTTTGTCTTTGCATTCGTCTTCATCAGGTTGCAGCGCGGTGAGCTCTCTCGGCCACCGTAGATGAGGATGATCAAATAAACCAGGCAGGGATGGAGAATGATAAAGACCAGAGGGAGAGATGGGAAGTGCAGTTCTAAAATTCGGAGAGAGGGAGCGGATGAGACCAGAGGGAGATGTAGCTGAGCGCTCTGTGACACACGCACTTTGATTCTTTACGTATATTTTTATACTGTATGTGTTTTAGAGATTGAATTGAAATCAAATATAAACATTACTGCTCTAACTATTTCTGAATAGGATGTGTACTTCAGAAAAATTTGGAATAGTATGGAAATACAAGGTTCAGATCACTAAAAACTTATATGGAAATCGAAGAGTGGAGTCTGGATATCATCCAGTGGAAAAGTTTGGTACTGCACACACAAAAAAATATTTCTAAAGCTCATTTATTGAGTCATCAACCTAAAATCTGGCCCAGAACTTCTTCAGATAACTAACACTAAACCAAACTCTAACTCTATAGTAAGTACATGTAGTTAACTAAAATTAATCAGTGGCAGTGCTTGTGTGTTCGCAAACCTGGTCTCGAGAGTGAGCTAGTATTTAGGATGTGAACTCTGTGTTCCCCAAAGGGAACAAAGACTTCCTCGATGACCTTCATAAATACGCAAGGAGACAAGGCTAGCCCAAAAGGGAGAACCGCGTGCTTGTATGTCTGCCCCTCGAAAATAAACCGTAGGAACGGTTGAGGAAGAATGGAGACATGGAAGTAGGTGTCCTTCAGGTCGATAGCTACAAACAAATCCTGGGGCCGCACACATTCAAAAATGCATTTGCCTGTGAGCATCTTGAACAGCAGCCTGTGAAGGGAGCGGTTCAGGACGCGCAGGTCTAGGATTGGCCGTAACCCACTAAATTTCTTCGGGACAATGAAGTAGGGGGCTGTAGAAGCTGGACCTCATTTTGACAGCCTCGATCGCACCCTTCACCAATAGGGTAGCAACCTCCGCTCTCATGACAGGGGCATTGCCACAGACCATAGTGAAGTGGACTCCCCTGTAGCAGGGAGGAGACTGTGCGAACTAAATCACGTAGATATTTTGTGCTATCCAGCTGTACAGACGATCCACAGATGAACCCTCGGTGGGCCAGCGAAGCGGAGTGACCGGCCTGGATGTGGACATGGTCAACGGACAAACAATCGGCGTTTTGTTCCACACTCTCACCCTCAGGTCACCCTGGCCACCAGCCGAAGTACCACCTCTCATGGAGGGTGTAGGCTGGGGTGTGGATGAAGGGACTCTCTCTCTAACGAGATCATTGAGTCTCAATAGTAATGATGCGATGCTCATGTTCCGGCTGAGAGATGAGTCATCCACAAATGCTGTTCTAGCGTGATCAATGTCCAAATACGCAGAGCAGAGAATGTGCCCATCAGAGTCAGAAATGAATCGACCGCCACCAGAAATGCACGGACGAGCTGTCTTTAAAAAGACATGCCGCATGCAAGCTCTTAAGTGAGAGGAAAAAAAAACTCAGTGGATGCTGAAGCGAGCAGGGAGAAACACACTCAGGCAGATCACTGCACAGATCAGCAGGCAGTGTGAATTCGCTGGAGATCGCCGTCACACCAACACTGGAGAGTCGCTCGTATCGAAGAGTGAAGTCAGAAATAGCTGTGGAGTGAAGAGAAACTCTTGGTTTCGAAGAGAAAAACATTTCTGCATATTGCCGCCATCCTCCTTTTATATCCACGAGGGTGGAGTGGAGTTGGAGTGGAGTTGTGCCATGCAAATTCCGCAGACTCATGGCATCTCCCTGGAGAATGGCGACTCCATCCCTAGTCGGTTCAGCTGACTTGGGACCAGTTCGGGGACGCACAAATAGGTGTGTTTGCCTCTCACGACTCAACCCATTGCGTCCTGTATTATTCTGATGCCTCAGTATTATTCTGTATTATACTGAGCCTTCTTGAGCAGACCCTGTGCAAAGTCAGGATGGACGAGGAGCAGGTAATTTTGGTCGCGCCTCACTGGCCCACCCGGACCTGGTTCTCCAAACTCTACTCCTGGTGACAGCACCTCCCTGGCCAATTCCTCTGAGGAAGATGCCAGAGGAGAACTGGCCCCTGACTGAGCCTGGGTTCTCCCAAGGTTTTTTTCTCCATTGGGTCACTTGATGGAGTTTTAGGACACCATCTAGTTTACTTGATGGAGTTTTTCGGTTCCTTGTCACTGTAGCCTTTGGCTTGCTTAGTTGGGGATATTCAAATTAATTGACCAACCAATAATACCCTTGATCAGCTCTACCAAACGTGGATGTTTTTCCACTAAGGAATGAACATTGTTATAATGTTTTGATTGATAATGTGAAGCTGCTTTGATGCAATCTATATTGTGTAAAGCGCTATTTAAATATACTTGACTTGACTTGAGGAAGGACCTCCTTTCTCAGGAACAGGGCACCCTATGGCACCCTTGTCCCGATCTTTGGAACCTCCACGTGTGGCTCCTTGACGGGCCGACGTAGGTTTGAGTACCCTACTACCAGTGGTGGTGGCTACAATCACTTCCGCTAGAGCGCCGTCCACGAGACACGCCTATGCTTTGAAGTGGAACCTCTTTGTCAACTGGTGCTCTTCTTGCTGTAAAGACCCCGGAGATGTTCGATTGGTGTTGTGATTTTCTTCCTTCAAGATGGGTTGGAGCGAAGGCTGTCTCCTCCACCCTCAATGTATATGTTGCCGCTATTGCTGCACACCATGATACGGTGGAAGGTAAGTCCGTAGGGAAGCACGACCTGATTGTCAGGTTCCTGAGAGGAGCGAAGGATACTGAATCCTCCTCACCCCCCTCTCCATCCCTCTTGGGACCTCTCAGTGGTTTTAACTTCAGTGGTTTTAAGATTAAATTCCTGTCAATGAATACAGTTCTGTTGGTTGCACTGACCTCCATCAAGAGGGTAGGGGACTTGCACGCTTTCTCCATTGACTTAGCGTGCCTGGAATTCGGGTCGGCTTTCTTTCACGTGATTCTGAGACCCCGGCCTGGATATGTGCCCAAGGTTCCCACCACTCCCCTGGAGAAGGCAGACCCAGACTTGGCACTGATCTGTCCAGTACGCGCCCACCACGCCTATGTAGACAGAACGCAGTGTTTCAGGACCTCAGACCAGCTCTTTGGGAAAGGGAAAGGCTCTCTCCAAGCAAAGGCTGTTTCACTAGATAGTGGACGCCATTGCCTGGGCATACCAGCAGCAAGGTCGACCGTGCCCCCTTGGTGTGACTGCCCACTCCACCCGGAGTGTAGCATTCTTTTGGGCTCTAGTGCATGACGCCTCACTAACAGACATCTGCAGAGCTGCAGGCTGGGCAACACCCAACATATTCGCCAGATTCTACAATCTCCGAGTGGAGCCTGTGTCCTCTCATGTACTCACTTCAACCAACTAGTACCAGACCCATAAGTGTCTTCGCTTGCTCGCTATTCCACTCCGTGGACTGGATATGTGCGATATTTTCCTCAGGTGAGCTTCCTCCTCAGGCCCTGACTTCCTCCAGCACTGCTGATGTTGAAGCCAGTATCTATTGCCTGTGCATTGGCTAGGTGCCTCCGTGTGCATTGTCCCCCCACATGTGTACAGTATTTCCACTGTAAGCCTCTCTGAGCCTCTCTCTTTCCCTCGGCAAGCCATCTTGCCACCCCTGGGGTTGAAATATTCCACCTGTGGCTGGACACCCCAGTGTTCTCCATATGCATTCCTTCGGGTCAAATGTGTACTCTGACAAGGGAACAGAGACGTCATGTCTGACTGCCACTACCGCTGTACCGCGGGGATCGCCTGAGTTCAGCCTGAGATCCCTTTTGGCTCCTCAGCGAAGAAACGTATCTGCCTATTGCCGGCGTCCATCTTTTATACCCACAAGGTGAGGCGGAGTTGTGCCATGCAAATTCTGCAGACCCATGGCATTTCTTTGCCATTGGCTCCTTTTGTACTTCTCAAAGTCGATAGGCTTTCTAAGCGAAACCCCATTCATCGTGTTATAGAGATTTTAACAGATAAAGATTAATTAAGTTAACTAACCATAAAGTTCTGATCTTATATTTCTAACATGTGATAAAACCTATCATACTTCCACTTCTTTGTCTCAAGGTGACTAAACTTTCCAATCTAGATTATAAAAAAGATACCTCTTAGTTCCTTCCATTTAGGATGTAGCCATGAGACGAACTTTCAATATGAACTAACCATCTAACAACTTTTTTGACTTAATGTAATTGAACCTTGTTCAATGTAACTTTGACGATGAACTGAACGTTCTGTTCTTTCACTGTATTAGGACGTGATTAACTGAAATGTTAACCCCTTACAAACTGTTTTTTGAGGATATTTTGCTGACGTCACTAACAAAGGAGGATGAGGGGATGGGGCTTGCTTTAAACAGTGTAACCAATCATATTGATAGAGTGTGACATGAGCAGTCATAATGAAATAATTAGTCATGATGATTCTTTTTTTAATGTGTCTGGCATTATCATATAAAACATGTGTACTTCTTCTTTTAAGTTGAGTTTCTCTGAGAATTGCTCAAGAACTGCATAGCAACCAGCTGAAATAAAGAGCATCTGAAGGACATTTACTGAAGTCTGTCTGTCATTTAAGCTGCGCAGCAAGAACAAGTAAGTTTTTAGAATTATTAGCACCCGGCGGACATCGACTGGAGATGTTCCAGGGTTATAGGATTAGTACCCGGTGGACGTCGACTGGAGATGCGCTGGTAAAAGTATAAGACTTGGCCAACTAGAGTGAGTTTTATTGTAGAGTAGTCAGATTCAGGGAAAAAATCCATCACAATCGTCAGCAGTTACAGCAGCGATTACAGGTGCTGATCACTACAGCTATGCAGAGGGGTGGTATTGCGAAAGCAGATGCCAATAAACAGCTGTTGCGACAGTTTCAGCGTGGATGTTGGGACCAGTCCCTTATTCTGGCCTTCCAATTAGGGCTTAAAACAGAAACATCGAGCACAAATGACCAAGTCCTGTACACTCCACTGCACACTGAACAAGCAAGTTTTTTTTTGTTTTTTTACATTTTTAACATCTGTGTAGTATGACACATTTCTGGCAAATAATTTGATCTATGCATGTTGTTATTATACAATAACACGTTTATTTGAAGAGAAGTAGTCTTATATGAAGTGTTTGCTTTTGCAAAAGATGTGGCATTTTGTATGCTTTGTGGTTGTGTGGTCTTCCAGGAAATGGCGTTAGAGTTTCAGAAATTGCGTGTAAACAATTTGAAAAAAAAAACAAAACTGTGAGTTCCACATTTTTTACACACATGCACCATAAATAATCAGAAATCACGAGCAGCCATGAAGCTGATTCACTTGACAAGCTTTTCCCATTGTGCTCCATATATATATATATAGTTACTCCTGGTATGTTTTAGTGTCTATAACCTATAATCTTTGTGCACAGTTGTAAAATACAGAAATGCTACTGGCCATGTAAATGAAAAGCAAGACAAGTCAACATTTTACAGCTACCTTTATTTATATATATATATATACAAAAAAAACCTTAATACAATCCCATCTCTTTCATATCCATTTCAAATGCATCAGTGGCATACAATTCAGATAAATAATACATATTTCAGGTCAATAATCGTAATGTTAAGTTATTAATCAAGTAAAAAAAAGAGGAATGGTCACTGAGGAACTCTGTGCATATCTCCATGAAAAGCAACTCCTCCATGGAAAGTAGCAAGGGGAATCAGTTCAGGAATAGACCTTGCTCCAACAAAGAATATCAGACACATTTAAACCTCCCTTGAATCCTCCACCCAAGTATCTGGCCTCAAATTACAAGTATATATGTAAAGTATATACTGTATATATAAAAAATAAGTAGAAAAAAAAAATTAAGAAACAGCCACAGGACTGTCAGACAAAAATGTGTGTCTTTCAGGTCTGCAACTTTTACAAACAAGAGGCAAAAGAGCTGCATTTAGAATAGTTAATTAAACTTATGTTGTAACTCAAAAGCACAAATCTGGAACTGGACCTCTGGTGTAAAATGCATGTCTGAATGAGAGCTGGCTCAAGCGGTGGAGGTCAGAGAGCGTCACAGCACGCGAGTAGGGGTTGGCTTGGCTGGCACGTCCAGGGTGCTCTCGTGCCCGCAGTGCGATGGCATGTTTCCAGAGCTCTGCTTCTCAGCAGGAAGTGGAATCCCCTGGTCACGGATCTGCTGCATGCACTGCCTACAATGAAAGAAACAGCCTTTTCCATTAACGATTCTTTTAGTACAATAATCTGTAACACCACAATAAGGTGCATTAGTTTACATTAGTTAATATGAACTAACAATGAGCAATGCATTTGTTACAATATTTATTGGTCTTTGTTAATGTTAGTTAAATAAAAATACAGCTGTTCATTATGTTAGTTCATGGTGCATTAACTAATGTTAACAAATACAACCAAATACAATTTTATTAATATATTAGTAAATGTTTAAATTAATATATTATATCAGCTAAAATTAATAAATGCTATGGAAGCATTGTTGATTCTTAGGTCATGCAAACTAAGGTAGTTAAAGCTGTAGTCTGGCGTTTTTTCCTCTTTGTCGCCATCTCTGTTCAAAATCTGCAATTGCAGTTATTCACAGAATAATCAACTTGTACTTCAACACCCTCGACACGGCACAGCGCGGATGAACACAATGTTTGAGGAGAGCGTGCGGCTGTCAGTCGCCGCTGGTGTGGATACTGGCATTCAGAATCAAAGATCATTGGAAGTATGACCAACATAAGAATTTTCACCGGAAAATGTCATCATCTGAACTAGTAAAAAACATCCACCTTTGTTCTGGTTCTGACATTGCAGTAAATCATGCTGATTAAATCTAATAATGGCTTATAAGTTATCATATCATGCAAAACCGTGCAAATTATACTTTGTTCTCAAATTGTTAATGTTAACAACGGCAGCATTGCGTGACTACATGTATAATGTCTTTCCGATATGAATCCTTGTTTTCGCATGGATCGGTTGCGGTTTCTTTTTCCGAACGAACCCTTTTGCATTTTACAGCGGGTGAATCTCTAGTCGTCACTGGTGATTTTTGTTTGAATCTTTCTGGATCCGCCATCAAATTGATAAGTTTAATTATTTCAAGTGCTGTGTGAAAAGGCTATAAATCTCCCCTTCCAACATCCTCACACGCAATATAGCTTTTACTAGCCAAGACTGCTTCTTTATGTGTACAGATGTGACGTAATGACGCAAAAACATGCTCGAATCTCCTGCGGAAATCCACGAGTACCACTGGAATTAAAAACATTGTTACAAGCTTACCGCTTTGATTCGAGCTACGGCAAGCAGAGAGTTTTGAACACTGGCTGGTTATGCATTTTATAATTTTTTACCCAAAAAAAGCTATAGACTGCAGCTTTAATGAACCTTATTGTAAAGAGTTACCCAATAACCATATTTTTTGTTTGATATTATTTTTAGATATTTAAAAATATTATTTGAGTCATTTTAAACTAAATTTCAGTGTTGTTTTAGATACTACAGAGCATTTTAATTTGGTCTTTGGTCAACATCAAACGAAAGAACTTGAACAGTTAACATCATGAAAATGGCTTTCCCAACTTACCAGGCTGTTCGGGACATGACGTAATGAATATCGGGTTTCTGGAAGCCATTGAAGGTGGAGGACATGGATACAGTGTAGGCACCAATGTTCTCGAACAGCAGCCAGTCGCCCACCTGCATGTCCGGCAGGCTGCACTGCTCCACAATGCGGTCCAGCCCATCACAGGTGGGTCCCCAAATACTGCATGGGTACATGCGCTCATCAGGCATGGGTTTCTACAAGAGAGTACCGCTTTAGTTTTAGCGGATAAAAACCATCATCGAACTAAAAAAAAAAAGGGAGGGGGGATTAACAAAAATCTGATGGGATTAACATTTCCACACCTTGTGCAGAACGGGCAAGTAATACGCATGGCTGGTCTGAATACAGTTGAAGGAACCATGAACGCCATCATTCACGTAGTACATCAAGGTTCGGTCATTGGTCCCGTCGTCTTCTTCTGAAGTGGGGGAAAAAATTAAACCAAGTCAGTCATCACATTTATTCATGTGGCGCTCCAATGAGGATTCAATTCAGGTCAATAATAGTGTCAATACTACAAAGTTAAACAAAGCTAAAAGCAGCACTAAACAAGACAAGTGTCATAATTCATCTCAAGTCAGTTCAATGTTGATTAAATTCAGTTCATTAACAGTGACGATGCTGCAGAGTCATAACCCCTCTCAATTCAGTTTAAATGTTCTTATCCAGTAGTGTCAGTGCAGTTAAATCGATAATATTGCTGAATATTAAGGGCACATTAGAAACAAACATGGTTTTTGATGTTAGCTTTTACCGTCAGAGGCTGATTGCTCCTTCATGATGACCTTTTTGGCAATGATGTTGACCGCCAGCGTGAATGCGGACGCCACGTAAAAGCGTCCAGGTTCAGAAATGATCCTCACGCCGGAGTCAGCAGGGAAATATTTATCCAGTGCAGGGTTAATCACAGCAGCGATCTGCAAACCAAAAAAAAAAGTTTATCATCTAAAAATCTTTGATCACCCAAAGTGAAGATGGTGATTTAAAAAAATTAAAATAACAATACCTCTTCAAATTTCAGTTTGGCGTCATCTGAGCCTGGAAAGCCTCCGCCAATATCAATCAGGGTCATGTTATATCCCAGCTCCGCCTGGTGGACAATGCATTTTCCACATTAATTATACACCATCAAAGAAATGAGGGTGTTTTTTTTTTTTCTACAGTAAAAGGCCACTCACCCCCATGTCAAAAACACAGCGTGCATCTGAGAGGGCCTGCCTGTATGACTCCGGATCAGTGCATCCGCTGCCCACATGGAAACTGACTCCGATCACATCCAACCCAAGCTCCTTCGCCCTCTCCAGCAGCAGACGGCTGCTCTTTAACGTGGCACCAAACTTCACACTTAACCTGCGCACGGCCTTGGAGTCGTCAGTGGTGATACGAAGAACCAGTCTGCAGACACAGAGAATGGGTTTAATGGTCATGAATGGTCATGAATTTAATGGTCACCTGAATACAGACTTAGTACGTACCTGTAACAGTTCATTTTTTAAGTTTTTGTTATTTAAAAAAAAGTTGAATTTTTTTCTAAATATTTACTAAAATAGTTAAGTGAATTGTAAAATATAATTGTAGTTATTGTTATCCTTGTTTACTATCAATAAATTTAATAGTCTGATTTTATATATATATATATATATATGTAAAATATTTGTCGACCACTATTACTTTGTGTACTGCAAGTGAGAAATGGTTTTCTTGCGACGTTACTCACTTGGCACTATCATGGTATCGTGCGACCTTCATGAGCTCCACGTCGCTGTCAAACGTCATCATCTGCACGCCGTGATCGGAGGCGTATTTGATCTGAGACACCTGCTTGCAGGGGTTAGCGTAGATGATCCTGCTGGAGTCCACACCCACAGACTGCACGAGCTGGATCTCCGACTGGCAGAGGATTAAAATTCAGGTCAATACAGGATTAAAGCTGCTAAACATACTTAGGTTTTGCTGCTGAGGTTATTGAGACACGTGGAGAAGTCACAATTGCGATTTAAGGGACTTGAATGAAGAATCTTCCATACCTTGCTCGCACAGTCGAATCCCGCTCCCAGAGACGCCAGTGTCGAGACAACAGCCCTGCTGTCGTTGCACTTCACTGCGTAGAACGGAGTGACTCGAGGTATAACACGGAACCAACGGAGGTGCTTCTTCAGGACGTCACCTAGGTCAGCCACGTAGAAGGCATCTTTGTCATCCTAAAGGAAGAGAAGAGATGTGATCAGAGCTCGATTGTATAGTCGCATTTAATCACAACCTTGTACATAAACAAAAGGAGGCATATTTGTATATGAACTTTTTTACAGCAATTAAAGGAGTTTTTCACTTAAAAAAAAAAAACTTTTGCTGATAATTTACTCACCCCCATGTCATCCAAGATGTCAATGTCTTTTTTTCTTCAGTCGAAAAGAAATTAAAGTTTTTGATGAAAACATTCCAGGATTTTCTACATATAATGGATTTCATTTGGAACCAAACGGTTCAAGGTCCAAATGAGTTTCAGTGCAGCTTCAAAGGGCTTTAAACGACACCATCTTATCAAGTGAAATATAAAAAAGTTTAAGTTTTATAAGCACAAATGCTCGCCTTTCTCTGTTCTGTGATGCACGTTCATGACTCTCCTGTTCAAACTCGTTCATCAAAATGAACAAATCTTTTTTCAAATCATGACTTGAAGGTTCCTAGATAAGAAGAGCCTTATTCATCGTCTGGTGTCGTTTAAAGCCCTTTGAAGCTGCACTGAAACGTTTGGTTCCCAATGAAGTCCATTACATGGAGAAAATCCTGGATTTTTTTATCAAAAACCTTAATTTCTTTTCGACTGAACAAATACATGGACACCTTGGATGACATGGTGGTGAGTAAATTATCAGCAAAAGTTTTTTTAGTTTTTTTTTAAAGACTTTTTTTTTCATATTATTTTTAAACTAATATGTTCATATATAAATATGATCATATAACACCGATTCTATCATCACTTCATTGGTTACCTATAAAGTTCCGTATTAATTACAAGGTATTGCTTTTGACTTTTAAAGCTCTAAATGGTTTAGCTGCAGTCTATTTTACAGATCTTCTATTGCCCTACAATCCATCGCGCTCTTTAAGATCACTAAATTCGAGGCGTCTGGTCATTCCTAGGATATCCAGATCCACCAAAGGAGGGAGAGCATTTTCACATTTAGCTCCGAAGCTCTGGAATAGCCTTCTTGATATTGATCGTTGCTCAGACTTGCTCTCCCAGTTTAAAACTAGACTAAAGATGCATTTATTTAGCCTGGCATTCATATACATTTTTTTATCTTACAGTTACTGTAAATTTGGCCTCTGGTTCATAAACGCCAGAGGAGAACTGGCCCCCGACTGAACCTGGGTTCTCCCAAGTTTTTTTTTTCTCCATTGGGTCATCTGATGGAGTTTTAGGACACCATCGGGTCACTTGATGGAGTTTTTCAGTTCCTTGCCACTGTTGCCTTTGGCTTGCTCAGTTGGGGATTTTCAAATTAAATGGCCCATCATACCATTGATCAGCTCTACCAAACTTGATTGTCTTTTTTTTCATGAATAAACAAACACTGTGAAGTTGTCTTGATTGATACTGTAAAGCAGCTTTGAGACAATCTGTATTGTGAAAAGCGCTATATAAATATATTTGACTTGACTTGACAACTCCAGCGCAAAACGAACCTTTGGTCTAACAACACATTGGTATAGTCGACCGTTCTGTGAGATTTGTTATCATGATAATCGAATGTAAAGAGTTCTATCTCCCTACATGCAAAGCAAAGCATTAAGAACTTTGTAAGTGTACAGACAGTTTAATAAGAAGATATTTTATAAAGACAGTCCACTTTGTGTATACAGGCAGGAACCATCTTTGGAAAGAGTCTCGACCAGTCGAACCATAAACGCTGTGACAAGTGAGCTGTTCGATCGGAATTACGTTTGTGAAATCTAATTACATGGAAATGCACGAATTATATTTGTTTAAGAATGCACTGTCATGAGGTTTTTCGGTCATTCATGCAAATCAATGAGCAAGACCTAAAGCTGGCGAATGTGATGCAAACTAAAATCACACAATAGTTGCTCTATATATCAGAAATATTTGCACAACACAACAATAATTAAAAAAAAAAAACTTGTCTAGTGTTTATTTACTCCACTATGGGTCGCCGCCTCCAATTTATTTTCAGGACATGGAAAAAAGTTGCAAGTACAGCCTTGTTTATCTAAGCAGGGAAATCTTCAGACTGTACAAAACGTGTCTTGACAGGTCCCACTCTTTACAACCTTGTGTCAGTATATTCCGGCTCAAAAAGATAAGAACGTCCATCAAACATAAACGGTTCATTATTGAAGAGATGCCAAATAATCCGCCATCTCTTTAGTGTGTATCTAATGGAAGCAGTCTCTCTTTTTAATTATTTTTATTTATTTATTATTTTATTATTTTCTCTGTCATGTTCAGTGCTTCTCTTATGCTCTCATTGCTTTCTTCCTAAACGGACCATTTGAGATTATGAGTGACAGTTCAGACCTGGCACAGCATTCGTGGGTCGACTGGTCGAGATTGTTTTTCAAAGATGGCTACTACCTTTATACGCGAATGTGTTATTAGACCAAAGGTTCATTTTGCGCTCGAGTTGTCCTTTAGCTCACCGATAAGGACAACTCGTTGATCTTCTGTTCCACGATATCCCGTGCACAGAATCCCTCCTCCAGGAAGGTGAAGTCTGAGTTTGATCCAATCAGTGTGGTCATCGTGTTTGTTCAAGAATTGATTGCAAAAGAAACTGTAAAAGAAAATGACAGGGGTGTTAGAAAATGTGACCTCTAAGATATCAGACTTTACTCTGACAGATAGTTTTTCCTTGAATTTTACAACCAGTGTCCTCAAACAAGCACCTTATCTTTGCTCCAGTGACTCTCTACAGGACGACTATCACAGCTACTGTGCAGTTGCAGGTATTTCAATATAAATACCATTAAAGTTCTTTTACGAGAGGTTCTCTCGTACTGCAATATTTTACACTAGGGGAAACCTCTTTTCCGTTAGATATTAAAACCAAAAATTATCCTTAATTTTGAATCAATGTAAAACGAGTTGCGGCAGCATGCAGACTTAGAAAAGACGTGTCTATTGGATCAGCCTTTTGAGAGATGCCCTTGATGATGCCAGATCCAATGGGGCCGAAATGGGCGTGGCCTGGGCCTATAAATATAGCACGATGATCTGTTTTTTCATCTCTTCAGCGAAGTTCACGCATCGCTGAATCCTGGGTGAAGAAGCCGTCTGAGAACAAGCCTTCTGCGGGACGAGACTTTGTACCTGAAGCCGCGGGCCTTCCTGTTACCTGCTACGCTTTCCGGCACATATATCTTTTTAAGTCTGCTGAAGTGTGTGTTCACCACCACGACTCACACACTTTCTCTCTTTTTCATAAAAGAGGTAGTGTCTTTTTAAAGATGCCCCTTTCCTGTGGCTCGTGCCGAGCCCCACTCAGCGACGGGGACTGCCATGTGATATGCGTTTCCTGCCAGAGTGAGAATCACGCAGTTCTCTCGCTCGCTGACAGCGGCTGCCATTGGCTGCCATTATTGCGAGCTACAGCCTATGGCGACTCTGAGGACTCGTCTAGCAAAATAAAATCAATTGTACGTTAAACGTAGTGTATGTGCCCACAACCCAGTGCCCACAAACCAACGCACACACAGTCAGCTCAGGTCGACAGTCTTTTCAGTGCAGTAAATGTGCCCGCTATCCCACGCCCATATTCACTCACAGACATGTTACGCCCCAAAGGGCTTAACCCCGCTCGCTCTTTCTCAGCAAACTGTTATAAGGGAGTTGAGCACGGCCACTATGTTGTGACCAGAGCCCAGACCTCATTCTACCCCTAGCCATGCATGCGAATGTGTGGGCAAAGCTTCCCGGGATATCAGAATGGGTGCTAAACATTATAAAAAGAGGCTATTCGCTGCAGTTCACTCGAAGTCCCCGCCACACAGCGCGGGTTGAAACTATTGTAAAAAAACAAAGTATCTCATCTACTTCGAGGCGAAATAGCGAAACTATTGAGCAAAGTGGCCATAGAGCCTTTATCTCAAGCTCAGAGTGAAGGGGGCCTATACATTAGATATTTTTTGGTACCAAAAAAAGACGGCGATCTCAGACACATTCTAGATCTAAGACAGCTGAACAAAGTTTTTGTGAAATGCCAGTTCAGAATGCTCACAACCAGGAAAAATGCTCACAACCTGTGCACATACCTGTGCATGGTCCCTGCCCTGAGCGACCATCACATGTGTATTTCCACTGTGCCTCTCTGAGCATGTGTCTTTCCCTTGGCAAGCCACCTTGCCACCCCTGAGGTTGAAATATTCCACCTGCGGCTGCCTGGACACCCCAATGTTCTCTCTATGCATTCCTTAGGGTCATATGTATATTCTCTAAGTCCCACCCCCTCTGGGTTGGCATTAATTGCATATTTCTCTGACATGTGAGATCTTATCAATTCTCATCCCTACTCCCCAGAGTACCTTGGAATTCCTGTGCTAAATAGGAGTCCTCCAGCTATCTCACAACAGGGATCTCAGATTTACGTAAGGCACTGGAAGACAGCTGTGAAGATGGCATGATTAGTCTGGTAACCCCATTCGTCGTCATCTGACGTAACTCGGAGTAAGAACTAAAGGGAACGTCTCGGTAAACCCTAAACTGTAACCCTCGTTCCCGTTACGTCTGCCTGCCACTTCCGACTGTACCGCGGGGATCGCCTGAGCTCAGTCTTGGCTCCTCAGAGAAGAAACCTATCTGCATATTGCCGGCGTCCTCCTTTTATACCCACGAGGCGGGGCGGAGTTGCGCCATGCAAATTCCGCAGACCCATGGCATTTCTTTGCCATTGGCTCATTTTGTAAGACTCGAAGTTGATAGGCTTTCTAAGCGAAACCCCATCCACCATCATCCGACGTAAAGTCTCCGCTTTACGATGGTTACATACGTACGTAGCCTAGATGTTACACAAATATGACTCAAGTTGTGCCGCCTGGCTGTCAAGTGTTTCATCGCTTGCATGGTACCGACAGTGTAGGAAAACCGTGACGTTTTCTACTACATAATTACGTGCATGCGTGAAACGGATCGTGCAGGTGGAACGGATCGTGTACCGACACTCTTGACTGACATCATTCATTGATATTGAGAATAACTGTTAGTTTTTACCAAATAATCAAGATAAACAAGTAAGTTACTTTGTGCTCGTCAATACAGCTGGTTCTGACTATAAAGATATTAGTTATAACATTTATCAATCCGAAGTTAAAATTACGCAAGAAATCGTGACACGTTGACTCGCAGTCTCACACACCACAGAAGGCCATTATGTCATAACATACGACACAACTACACAAGCAACACTCTTTAAAAGTCAGAAAAACACCTTTAACAATGAAACTAACGGATAGTTTCTTAATTTATGATTAGACTACCATACTGAAAATGTATCCTAACAGAACGGCTATATAATTATGCTAAATTTCATCCAATAATATAATATAACTCACCTTAAAACGCGCACAAACGGCTGTGGTGATGATCAACTAGCGAACTCTCTGAGTAAAAGTCGGCGATCTCGGCCCTATATATAGTGACTTGGTTTCCAAGGTGAGGCACTATGAAAGTTCCTTCAAAAGAGAACAGGTTTGGTCTTGTTAGCTGCTTGAGGATAAAAAAAACTAGAACTAGAAGTGACATACTTCCCAATCAAACAAAGGTACTTTGTAATTTGGTAAATAAATAAATAAATATTATACTAAAATCTGTTAATGATGCCAGAAACCCCAAAAATGAACAACATGCAAAAACCAAACATAAACTCCAAACTGAACTTTTTTGCTAATTGGAAAAGTTTATAGTTGTAGGGAAGTTTAATATTACACACACTTATATTTTAGTATTCTTTCTATGAGCATAGAAAAGTTTGAATTGTACAATAAGATTGATCTATGCATATCAGTGTTGTTATTGATAAAGTAAAACTACTACAGATTTTTCTGTAGCTAATTGTAGCTAAAAGTAAATGTAAGTGCTATGAATATATGAAATATTAGATTAAAGACAAACAAAAGTACACACTAAAAAGTTTAAATTTACAATATTTTTTTTCACTATATATGTTCTCTCTCTCTCTTTTAAACTATTTGGCTTAATGCATTTTGAATAAAATCCTCTGTTAACTGTATATATAAATGCAAATATAGAATAGAATAGGTCTTTATTGTCATTAAAACAATGTAAGACTCGTTGTAAGACAAGGATTGGCAAAAATAGAAATAGCGTAAATTTAAAACAGTGTGCTAAAATAAAATCACAATGCTGTAACAATATATAGTATAGATATTATAAATGTGACAATATATGTAGAGATACTTATCCATATGATATATAGACATAACACACACATACATACACACATTATATACCTACACATACATCTTGTTTGTCCGTCAAGAGTTGATGATGACCATGACACGTTTGCCATTTATATACATACACACATGCATACATTCATACACATAAATACATAGATGTCAACATATATTATTTTTTTTTTTACATATATGGAGTAGTACAGTGTATGTGTGTTGGCTGAGTATGGGTGTTGTACTTCCAGTTTGTGAGTTTATTGCACCCCAGTGTTTGGAAGTGAAACGAGGGAAGGGAGAGGAGGAAGATATATTAGGGGAAAACAGTTATACAGCTACATTTGCATTTCATTAGTTACACATGTTACAGCATAACTGTGTATACTAAATGAGGCAAGGCTGTCGAGTTACATTCAAGTTCAACTTTTTTTTCCAAGGAATTTTTTTTTTTTATATGGATTTTTGGTGATCAAAGATGAGCTTTAAGGAGTATGGGGAGGCTGCAGACCTGGAGCCGGCAGTTTTACGCCCCTGACAGTTTTACGTCCCTGTTGTTCCTGATGCGTCCAGTAGGGGGGAGACTACATTAGCAAAGTTATATGAGCTTAGTCCTATATCATTACAGACCTTCTTGAAGCGAAAATAAAAGTTGGCTACTTTTGTCTCAAACTTAAGCACATATAGGTTTAAAAGCTGCCCTAGTCTTCTCTTTACCTGCTCTGTCTCACTCACTTTTAAAATTCATTTAATTTAAATTTTTGTCTTGTCTGTCTTTTTAACTTGTATCTCATTAAAGGGATAGTTCACTTTGAAATGATTTTTTTTATGTTTTATCTTACCTCAAGGGCATCCAAGGTGTAGGTGTCTTTGTTTCCACAGTATTTTCAATTTTGATATTTTTAGGTCAAAGCGTTCTTGTCTGTGAGTCTATGGTCACCACCTCAAAGAGCATGCACAGAGAAGTGCAAATTAAACGTGATTTAATGACTCGTAAATGTAAGTACACATTGATGGCCTAAGACACGGAACGAGCGTTTTGTGTGAGAAAACGAACAGTATTTATATCGTTTTTACCTCTTGTAATCACAGTCACATCCAAGTACTTTGAGGGCGAGGGCAATTCTGTCTGCGCTCGTTGCATTGATACACATTGCATTACATTTACGAGTCATTAAATCGTGTTTAATTTGGACTTCTCTGTGCATGCTCCGAGGTGGACCCCATAAACCTCCATTATGACAGACAAGAACGGTTTGACCTAAAAATGTCAAAATTGAAAATACTGTGGAAACAAAGACACCTACATCTTGGATGTCCTTGAGGTAAGCTAAAACATATCAGCAATTAAT